TAGGACGCCTCTGTTTTTGTCGCAGAGCATTGGCTCTTGTAGGGGAGACCCGTTTTATTATTTGATCATCTTTCAAATAGAAAATTGATGTAATTCCACTAAAACTCTCAAAAAGTCCTTTGAGGAAATGATATAATGATTTCTGAAAGAAGGAAAATGTTATTAAAAATTTCGGTCATTAGAAAGTTTAGAACGAGCATTGCAAACATTAACAAGTATCACAAAATATCATTAAAAATATTTTTGTGTACACATTCTATTAGGTTGTTTCAAAAGTTTTCTCCGTTTTGATGTCGTGTTTTTTTTCTGATTGATTCGGTCGTTACTTGATGAATATCCATAGTTATTTCATAAACTACAACTCACGATTTGATCTCCACAAAGTTTGTGGAGATGTGAGTTCTAGTTCTAAAGAAATGAACTTTGAACGTTCAGGCCAGTCTCGGATATACCTATTCAGTAGGTTGAATGGACTGACGCCTATCAGAAAATAACTACTCCCCTGGCTAATACCACGAAGGACGTTGGATTATATCCGACAGGCGTCAGTGCACGCATCTCCACAGAAAATGTCCTGCATATGCAATTGGCAATACAACTGAAAGAGTTGACCCTCAATTTAAGAAACGGGCACACTTGCAGACCGGTTTCAGGCTCATTAGCGACTCATCAGTGCAAGATAGTGGCCATCATCGACCTAAAGTCAATGATATTCCATGATTGAAAATCGGAATTCTTTCAGAGTATTTCATTCCTCTTCCTAAGTTATAGAATATAGAATATGGAAAGTATCACATTGTAAACAAATATTTCAGAAATATATTCTCCCATATAGGTTCTTGAAGACTCTGTCCAAGCGTATAGTTAATCATACATATACGCAACAATGAATAATGAATACTACCTAAAAAGATACACACTGCTCATATTCCAGTATGATTTTTTGAATTTTTAAAAAGTAGGAATATTCCTAATAATAACAAACACACACAAAGAAAAGAAAAACAAATAACTATAGTAATGGTTGCTTAATTTCCAATCTACTTGGAAAAACATAGACATTAAACATTAACTATCTATAGCAAAAGGAAAAAAATTTCATTGTAAAAAATGGGATGAATCATTTAAGAGTATCAATCAGTTCATGGAAAATATGCCTATTTTCTGAAAGTATCCATTTTTTGAGTTCCCTCTTCAAACTGTATTTGTTATGGATAGCTTGAGCATTATTTGTACAATTTTGTTCCTAAATATGTAAAACATTTCTGACCTACTGCTTTATTTGCCCTGGGTATGGCAAGATCGGCTGATATTAAAGCGTCTATATTGAATGGATGACTTAATTTACTTGTATACTATTTACGCTGAAGGATAATGCAGTTTTGGAAAACAACTGTCAAAAATTTGTAACTCGATATATAATGAATCAGAAGAAAATCGAAATGATTTGCGATATATTATTTTCATGATTCGTTTTTGCACATTTTCAAGGGTTTTGACAATTGTTTTGTTTGCTCCATCCCAACCAAGTATTCCATATTGCAGCAAAGATTCCACTAGTATATAATAGAGGATCCTGAGCTGTGTAACAGAAAGTATTTTTCGTAATTTATAAAACTTGAACATTAGTCCCCGAAGTTTCAACTTTTAGATGTGTATATCCCATCTCAATACAGAATCTATAAAAATACCTAGATACTTTACTGACAGTACTAGTTTGACATCTTGGTTATTGATTTTTATTGACTCATATGGGGGTAAGTACTTCTCATATGATGAAAAACAAATTACATTTGTTTTACTGAGATTTACTATAAGCAAGTTCTCTTTAAACCACTCTATTATCTGTTTCAGGTCTCTTTCTGCCGAATCTTTCACATCCAACCAATTTTTGTCCTCATATATGATGACAGTATCATCAGCGAACGATATTATAGAACCAACAGTATTTAGGCTAACGAGCTGATTTATATAAATATTAAAAAGTATCGGTCCAAGAAATAAACTCTCGCCAACCGTCTAACATCTTTTCAAGCACTTCAATAACGTTCTCACTGGTAGAACCTTCGCCAATCAGGACTAGGCAAAAACTGCCTTCGTCGACTTTATCATAGAATCTCGAGCACACATTTTTGTGCTAGCGGAATTATTCGACTTGTGTTACGTTGGCAAAAGCGTACTGATTCAAATATCGCTTATTACACAATTGGGGTTGAGTCACATTTCTTGCATGAGCTGTTTACATAGATCTTTTTTACTGATTTTTACAATACACAGGATACTCAATAGAAACGCGGTATATCATAGTGACTTTTCAAATCGAATGAGATATATGTTGCTTTAGATATTCTAATTCCATCAAAAAAGTACTTTTAAAAAATAAAACTTTATATGGGTAGTTGCAATAGAGAAAAGTTTGTCAGATTCAATTCTCAATATACAAGAAGTTCCTCAAAGTTCTATATTGAAACCACTATTTATCACATATTATCAAAATGGATGGCGGGACAAAAATTGAAAATAGTGCTACAGTTTGGGCTCCATATTGACAATACATACATTAAGAAATCTCTGCCACAGTTAAAAAAATATATAAATAGGTGTTTCAAAAAGCCATTACGTGAATCGACAGTGTTGAATCTCTTATTTTTGTTGATTTCACTTATAATTCTTGCAAAATGATTTTAATGGTACAATGTTGGAGTGGAGATAAGATGTGCTCGTCAAAATAGCATACAGTTAGATGAGGAAATACTGAAAAAGATACGTACCATTACCTTCCAGTGAGCCATATTTCGATAATTAGTTTAATTGATAAACTACGAAATATTTACAAGCATTACGAATATCTCAAAACAAATTTTAAACACAAGCAAACAGCTGATCGCTTATCTTTCCTTCTTCAATTGTGGTGCAATGTTGTCACCTTTTAGAAATAAACCAAATAAAGAAAGAAACCCACGCTAATTTTTCTGTTTCCTTTAGTTTTTTGGCCGTTTCTCTTTGAGTTGTCAGCCAACAACATTTTATACAGTGGTGAACAGGTGTAATTTTCAGTCGTAACAAAACGGTGCAAAGAATAGAAGTAGTGTGTATTTGAGATTGTTTCGACCATCGCTTTCAGTGGTAAAAAAGGAAATATATTGAGTCATCAACATCCTAGGATATATTTTGTGTTATCACTTCTAGCGTTTTCCATTGGGAAAACTAATGCACGATTCGTGTATCTCTGTCCTTCTTTTGTTGATACATTTATAAAGGATGACATCCTGTTAACCTATCTTTTTCTTTGGCATCTCAGAAATATTAAATTCTAACACAGAATACTATAGTAATTATGATATTCTGTGATTCTACTATGAGATGTATTCGTAGGAAAGAATGGCTTTCTTCTACTTTTCCATCTTTATACAAAAAATGTGGGAATCTTTCATTTTTCGTATAAAGATGAAGAAGTAGAAAGACAAAATCTCCTAAAAATATACCTCCGAGCCTAAAAATGATCTCGTAAATATCTCGTGAATACCAAACACCAGAAGATTCAACTGACAAATCTGTAATATCCAACGCTTTTAAGCTAAACGAGCTAATCGAGTGCTCAGATTTATATTAAACGAAGACAGTTTAGACGTTGACATGACATGTATCAGAGTAATTCTCGTGAGGAAAGAGGCAGATGTTAATACGAACGAATAATGAGGTTAAACACCAGATGTGTTTTCTAGCCTTTAATCCTATTCTAGCGTGTGTTCAAGAAGATTCGAAGTGACGTCATTAGTGATAAGATTCACCAGAATGGAATGATTCGATGTGTTGGATGTCAAATCCAATAATAAAAATAAACTTTTCAATTTTCTCCAACTTCAATTGGGGTCGGATAGAATTTCCCAGCTTCATTTTGTACATACTTACAACGTATTTGAGCAGCACTTTATAAACTATAACTCTTGTCAAAATAAAGCAGAAACTGAGGTAGGCTCGTTCTGGTTCTCTGCCCGGACTGTTCTTAACAGTTAGAAAAAAGTCACCCAACTGAATACTGAACAATTTGTCACGGTAATCTACTCGGTCCACAACTGTCTCACTGATTTTGAACGATTCGAAACAGTACTAACTGAGAACCAGAACAAACCTGTTACGTCAAATTCCGTTTCAAATCAAACCTCACGTCAGTTCTGAATCATCATGAATACTTTTCAAATCATAATAGTTGATGTGGCGTCATCGTTTCAACGCCAGAATAAATAATGTATTTGAATCACAGACGAAAACTTTTTGAATACATGAGCGCCATGCTCAGGGTTTATTATATCTCTGTGATGTTCAGCGGTTCATGAGCATTTTGAGACTAACTAAAAAGAGAGGTTTCATTGGGGAAAAATGTTTTTGCGGGGGGGAAAAACAGTAGTTCTCAAAAGTAACATTGTTGAAAAATACATTCGATTTATTCCAGGTTCTCCTTCAAAATTATGAATTTTTATGCTTTACTTTCACATCTTGTAAAAGCACAATAAATATATGTATAGGTACTGATTGGGTTATTTATTTTTTCTCAAATCAGGTATGATGTTAACAATCAAACGAGGAAATCATTTAAACATAAACAAAAACATATGAAGAGCTCTTTTAGAATAAAAGAAAATTCAAATGAATTGATTTTCTTTGAAACTTCCTTATAGTAAAATTAAAAAAAAACAAATACTTGTTTCATGAACAGAGATTGATAATAATTTAAATGAAATCCATATCAACTTGAGAATACATCTTTTTTTATCAAAATACCAACAACCACCTATGTCCTGGTTGAATAGGAAAATTGAAATCTAACCCGTATGAATGATTCAATCATTTTTAGAAGCTGAAACAAGTCAAACATGGGCAATACAGTTCACTTTTCTGATAAATATCATTTCAACTATATATTAGTTATTCCAACTTTTTCAATTTGTTCTAGAAGACTTTTTAAATTATTATCAAAGAGTTCACATCTTATTGGCATTTCTAACGAATAAAAAGGATTTTTCAACGCATAATCAGCGTAAATTTCATATAAACGTTTCAGTAAAATTTCGACTCCAGTTTGGCTGGGATCAGAGACTATCATAATTTTAACCCCAGTTAGAGTTTGGAAACAATTAAGCCGGAATGTATCTGCTTCCAGCACTTCTATTCCTGACGATTTCGGTTCCGGACTCAGCTGACTGGCTATAGCAAATAAAGGATAGAACATGCTGGCTAGAAAAATTTTTTCATTTGTTGTCATTTTGGGCCTGCCAAATTTTATAACTACGGGATAATTTTCTTTTTTGTTTAAAAATTCCAGGGCATCTTGACCGTCATCCATCTGTTGTCCAGTCACACCAATGCCGTTTATTGAATACAGCACATGGCCCACTGAAAAATATGAAGAGTCAATTCTGGAAAAATGACATATTATGAAAATTATCATAGAGCCGTTGATCAAAGTTCAATATCAATGAGAAATCTGCTAAATCTTGCAAAGTTATGAAATGATATATGTATGTTCTTCAAAATATTATTTGACATTCCTATATAGAGAATATATAGCTCACAGAGCATAATTGAAATAATAAATAATAATAATTCTATCACACATTACATAAAATAATATACCAGCCAGTAAAAAGGAAAGAATATTTATAAGGTAGCCTTCAAGGTTTATAAAAGTATTCTTCGACACAGTATGAATACAGTTCCTTCCTGTAGAGAGGAAAAGATGAGAGAAGTGGAAAGCCAACACCTTTCTTTCCCAGTTTCACTATGTTTTGCAAGTTATTAATTATACATAAAAGGGGCCCTAGTCACTGCCTTGTGTTTTGCAAGTTATTGAAAGTCATTTAAATAAATTATACATAAAAGTGGACCTAGTCACTGCCTTGTGGTAATTCTAGATCGATATCTTCAGCCTCTGACTAATATAACCAGTATCTGGGTGTCTTATTTTGAGTACCTGTGTTCGACCAGTTGAATGAGATTTAAACAATTTTATTCATTACCTCAAATTCTATAATGTCTAGTTTTGTTACTAGAATAGAAGAATCAATAAAGTCAAAAGCCCCAGGTAGATCCAAAAAACAGTACCACAATATGTTTTCTAAGTCATAATATTAACTTGAAAAAACCTGATTAATTGATAGATAGATGTATGAAAGCGGAAACCTTTGTTATCTGTATCATTCAAATCCAGATAAGTAGTTGTTATAAATGTGTCTTTTATATGATTTTTATTTTGAGAAACATTAGCGGATGAGCACATAAAGTTCCCTACAGTTTTCATTAGCATTATCAAAAATACTTTGAAGTTATCTATATTTTACAAATGGCATGGAAAAAATAATGATGTCAAAGAAGACACTGAACTATTGCACTTTTTTTTTATTTTAGAAATTAGGTATTCATTCCTCAATTCAACTTTACCATGAATTCCATCCCTCTCTCCAAACTCCACAACAATTTTTTTATTTTCCACCCGCAACTTTATATCCAGAGGATATGAAAATTTCTTTTCTTTTTCAATTTTCGGGACATTGTTATCATAATTGAAAATGAGCCCTCCAGACTTGGATACAATGTAGATACCAAAAATAACCATAACAAAACTGCCAGACTAGACTCCTTAACAACTAAAATTAAAAAAAATGTTTACTGTCGTCACAGTTGTTACCATTGTTACTGTCATAAACAGTCTGGCCAAATGATAGAATCAGTGCCTACAGATAGCAGTCGAATTTACACCATAAAGGTGTATATAGCAAAGCATAGCATGACAAAACTGCCAGGCTAGGACTCCTTAACAACTAAAATAAAAAAATTCTTTTCTCTTGTCACAGTTTTCACTGTCTTAAACAATGTGGCCAAATGATAGAATCAGTGACTACAGATAGCAGTCGAATTTACAGCATAAAGGTGTAAATAGCATAGAGGTGTAAATAGAATCTTGTTCAAGAAAGTGCCTATTATTTCGTAGGATCCTCAGAATTTAATGATCTACATTCAGCACTTTTCGATATTGCTATGAATAACTATGTTAATAACGACCAAAAAATGTGTTTCAAAGCATTTTGAAGTTGAGATATATGTATTTTCTACATTACACTTGATGGTTCTGCCACAAACCTACGTGAGTTCTCAATAATTAGAGTTTATATAGCGACTTTCTTTGATTCAGGATAACCTCTATTTACAAGTACAATAGGAGGACAACTCCTCGGGAGGATGTACAATGGGTCACATGTGGCCTAAGTGCGTGGGCTTACACTCACCCTCCCTACTCTACAGATACAGAACCTCTATTTCAGAATATTTTCAATACTTATTGAAAATATTGAAAGTTATTGGTTTAACGCTTATAAATTATGATATATAGAGTAAGTAAATACATAATGATATCTATGGTTTAACGAATGTTATATTGAATATCATTTTTCTGACGGTGTCATGTCTATATTTAATCGAAACTTCATATAAAATACAGCTTACAAATCAACGGCTATAATGTGCTATTTTGAATTAAGGCCAATAGCATGGCTCGCTCATTTTATACGAAATTATTTTGGCAGTAGAGTACTAGTGCAGTTGTAGTGTATTTTTCATCACTAGATAGTTTGAAGGATAGGGATACATTAATCGTGCTCGAGATCTGGAAGTCTTCTAAAATAATTTGGTTTCGCATGTATCAATAGGCAATTTCAACTATTTTATCATTTATTGACTTCTTTGTGACGAGGAGATTCACTTTTGACGCATCACATTTCTTGCTTTTTACATACATTTTCATCTAAAAACACCTAATTTTCGAAAATGTTGGATCTAGGCAAATTGTGGATAATTTAATTTGAATATTCATCATTGGCAACACTGATCGGTTGTAATTTGTGATGTTTGTTTCCATTATATTATATGTCATAATCTTTGTTTATGTTATGTTATTGAATTTTGTTTCAATTAAAAATACACTATCTGATTTCTCAGCAAAATAGTGACGTAGAATAATATTGGAAAGTAAATAAACATGAATAACTAAAAACAGACCGGGATAAACATTTTTCTTACTTCTATATTAGGTTGACGTTTTTCTTTTGGATAATTTCAATGTGGCTATAGATCATCCGCCTATTCATTTCCAAATAAGGCGAAGTTGAAGTATGGCATTTAGCTATAATCATCCAAGACCTAATTCGGAAAGGCTAGCGGGGAAGTATAAACAAAAATTGGCATTGTTGAAGCAAATGATCAGAGAATATGTGCATGTAAGTTCCACCAATGATTTTTAACTCTAGTTTTGATTAAGAATGAGTGTAAAATATTCATTTTAGGAAAATGCTGCCCTAGTGGATGAACTGGAAGAGGTACAGATAAATATAATAGTGAGAAAAGAAGAAAGGAAATATTTGTTAAGAAAATTATGTGAATATGAACCCCAAGTTGGACTAGAAGTTCAAAATTCTGCCAAAGATGGACCGCGTCACACTAACAGTACACCAACAGCTATCAGTAGTAACAGTGATAACAGGAAGAGTAGAAAGAAATATTTAGAATCCAATGGTAAATGATTAATTTGTCAACAAAATTGAATTAGATTCAACTGTAGAAAACTGGTTGATATTCCTTTTAATGGCTCATGGTAGTTTTTGATAAATTTAATTTGGCTTACTTAATTTAACTTGCTATTCATACATCTGTAGACAAAACTTGGAGCTATAGTCTGCTTTCAGCGACCACTCAAAAGTCAACTGTCAAAAATCAAAGCACGAGATTGTGAAAAGGTGCCATGTTATGAGTTTATATTAGCAGCAGTGAATTGAATGGGGGTATCTTCAAAAGTAACCTAGAGCGCCCAATTATATGATTAGTTGTCAAAAATACTTAAGCTATGGCAAGCCATTGAAGCAGATACTGTTAGTATAAGTAGTTTATTGGTTGCATATGTCTGTCAAGAAGAGAAATTGGAATTTTATAGAATACAGTGGTGGTCTTCAACAAATACAGTCCTATAAGGCTAAGAGGAGACAAATGGTGTGCATTAACAACCAAATGACACCATCATTAATATTCAATATAAAGTGTGTTCTTGCAAATGATGAATTTACTAGTTTTTGTGATGGATATTGATATTGACAACACTTACATGGAATATACATATATGATTGAAATTGAGTACTGCTTCATTTGATATCATAAAAACTTCAATGGGATACTTTTCTTGTGAGAATTTATTTCATTGAAGTTGTTTTGATTATACTACTAAGCATGGCCAAAGGGGTTGAGAAAAACCTTGATGCCCCCAAGGTAATAATAATAAGGAGAATTATTACCATTGCCTGCCCATAACAACCTAATGACCATTTAATTGGCACCAATGAAAGTAAAAACAATATTTTCCTAAAATTTAACATTTGTTCCAGAAAGGAAAACATCAGTTCTGAAATCGAGAAAAAGTTCCTCGAAAAATAGGAAGAAGTTTGTGCGTCCAGTACCCATAGATCTAACGGGGAAACCGATATTTCCCATTGAATTAGGACGGTTGAAAATTCATTCTCTTGGTGAAGTTGTATCTGATAGAGTGGAATTTCACTCTGAGCATGTTATTTATCCTGTAGGATATGTATCGACTCGGATTTACGGTAGTTTAAAGGACCCTACCCAGAAATGTATCTATACTTGTACAATCTCCGATGCAGATGACATTCCCAGGTAAGGATGATAGGGTTGAAAAGTGAAATGTAGATAACAAAATAATGATTTTGCACATTCTAGTCTAGTGGTAGTTTTCATTATAACGATTACTGGTTTTATTGATTTGACATTTCCTATGGTATTATAGCTTGGGGAGCATGTAGTGATTGTTCTAGAATACTCAAATTCAAAAAAGAACCATAAGGTATATAGCAGGAGTTACAAGAAATACAAGTTGCAAACTCATCTTCCAAAATCTCAAAATATTGATTGTTACAAGTATATACATCAATGAGATATTGGAATATGTAAAATCGCACATAACCAGTTTTCCTACTCTTTATGGTAATAATAATTGTAATACAAGAAAATCCCTACAGTTGGAAGTGCCAACACACAGATTAGTTGTATCTGAATCATGCCCCAGGTTTATGGCCATTAAATTGTACAATAAACTTTCAAGAACAATAAAAAATCTGGCTCTGAAACAGTATAACTATCAAATCAAAGAGTTGCTCCTGGATAAATCCTATTATTATCTCAAAAAATATATCGATGATAACTTATGATCCTGTACATGTGTAATATTTTAGGAAGATTTTAATACAATGTTGTTACACAAGTAACAGATTATTTTTGGTTTTGACTATATTCTTGACATATCAGTTGATACGTCAAGAAGAGTACTGAAGATGACTGCCGCAGTTGTAGTTGAAACGTTTGGAGACTGTAACCAAAGAAGACAACGGCAAAGCCCGGAAACCAACCAAAACATAGACTTCATCCGTGAAAGCCTACATTGAGCAAGAAAAATACTACAAAAGTCCATGTAAATTTTTTATATCTTCAAATATTTGCATCTATTTTTATTTTTCAGGTTTGAAATTGCTTCTGATGATAATTCTACACCAATCATTGGAGATACACCAGATGTTTGTCATTCTTTACTACTACAGGGTATCAATGATTCTCTGTCCCTCAACGTTGTCAGTACGAGACCCAGAGGAAATGAATTTTTTGGACTGACTCATCCCACTGTATTACATCTCATACAAAGTTCCCCGGGTTCTAGGAAATGTACCAATTATAAATGGATAAAATTCGAGGTTTCCAAAAACCATGAAATGCATTCAGAAGACAATGATGCAGGTCTCAGTTACGAGTACCTGCAACGCAGTATTAATTTTTGTAAATATAAAATGGCGCCTGACATTTTACAGAAACCTGATGATATTGTTGATTCGAAAGATGATATCGTACTGTACTGAATAAGATTTGAAGAAATGGAATGTTGGTGTGCACAAGTGTATTAGAATCAAGTCATGGTTTCAGTTATAACAATTCTATCTATTAACAAAAATTCGCCTTTGGTGTCATGCCTTTAGGTTCCCTGTAACATTACTTCTATTTATCACAATCTAAAAATATAGAATGGTGCATCATATATTGATCAAATGACAAAAATCTGTGAAGATTTCATAATAATCCCTGCAAATAGGTTTGATTTATGTTCTGCAAAAAAATATAATTTTGTTGTAATTCATGTATTGAATAAAAGTTTAAATAACTAGGAAGAAATCAGGTTTTTATTGACCTTTTAAAGTTTTCACCTTCCACAATTTAAAAAAAATATTTAAAATTGTAATGCAGAACTGTATACAGTGAAGGGCAAAATTTTAGTTCACTCTGATAAGTTACTGCATACAAACATTATGCAAAATACCTGGAATTACACATTGTTAGCAGCCTGAACTTCAATAATCATATTGAGGTTCTCAAAAGCAAATTAGTTTCTGGATGTTACGCAGTTCATGTCATATCCAATGAACTCAGTCGAACGCAAAGATGGTTCATCACTCACTAACTGAATCTCACCTGTGCTATAATATTACCTTCTGGGGGGTTTTTGTTATATGTCTCGTTTTAAATAACTTCGGTTTGTCTTTTTTGTTATGTGCCTATTTTTCCAACTATTAACATAAGATACGCTTTGTCAATAAGAATGTTTGTTCTTCAGACAATACAGAATAGTTGACTGTCATAGTATTCACTTCATAATCCAATACTTTAACAATTTTGTAGTTGAAAATTTCGAACGATCACTCCAAAATATTTCAAAAAATAATTTTTTAATGTTAGGGCATGAGCAGCCGTTTGGGTTCGTACAAGCATTGGAGTGTATGACAATGTCTAATGTAAAGTTCAACTTATAATTGATAATAATCACTCCTTATTGTTACTTGTTAATTGAGTATGCATAAATTCTCCCTTAGTTATTAGGTATTTTGCATAAAACTGCTATTAGTTAAATAAAATTCAGTACATTGCATCATCATAGCCTTTTAATCAATGCTATATATCACATTCATGTTATTTAATATCTACATTTATGCATCAATTATTTCTTTTTTTCTTTACTTTTACTACCTTTAGGTTTTCTTTCCAGTTGAATTTGCCTCAATTTCATTGCCAGTTTAGCTTGATTCTCTGAATGTTTTTGCTGTGACATTTGGGGACCTGGGTGTTCAAACTTTTTCCTCTCTTCCCTTCTAACTGCTTCGCCACAACCGTGGATCTCCGGTAAACCGTGAGTTGTACAAAACCTTCCCTTGCAAAACTTACAGTCTATAGCAAAAAATTTCGTACGGTTTTTACATGCTGTAAAAGAGCATTTGTTATCAATAGCTTCGACCTTTTCTAAAACGTCATCAATATTTTTCAAATTTACTGCTTCTTTTAGATGTTGCTCTTTGCTTTTTGTTTTCTTTTCATTATCAAAACACTTGGAACTAACACTCGTAGACATTTTGAATATGAAATGTTAAAAAAAGAGCTAAACAAAAATATTGCCAATGTCAGATAAGTCATTCACAAAACACTTTTATTCGAAATAGGCGTGTTCTTGAATTCATCAATGAGCTCATCAATTTACTAAAATAGTTATTGTTTTATGGATTATATATTTGTGATATTTATGTTTTAATGTAATTAGTTCCACTGGTGCCACACCAAGTTTTTGAAATCAACTGTTGGTACATCCATTGACATCTAAGCGTTCTAAATTCATTGGTGTTCGGTTACTCCATCGAGATGTTTATACCAGGTTCGTATATCCATCGATGAAACCAATCGATGTATATTAGATCTACTCAATGAAAAGTAGGTGGATTGTGATAGATAGCCTATTTACCTCGTTTGGAATAATTTGAGGTAGTGGTCGCAGGAGCTTACATTTCAAAGACAATTTGAAAAATGTGATTTTTTTTGTTAGTTGCCATTTCCATAATATTGTGTGAAATAGGGATATGAAATAATTTTCAGCAAACGTCATTGTGATCTCTATCACAATAAAAACATAGTTGCTAAAAATGTTGTATAAAAGTAAATTCTGTCAATGAAACAAAAAACCTTTCAAAATGAATTTTAATTTTGTTTCAGCCGAACGAATATTGAGATAACCAATTGATGATAATAATAATTTCTCAATGAAAAGTACGTTTAGTAATCTCGACAAGTCATACATTACATAACATGCGTTCATACAAATATTCACAACGCAAAATTCGTATTTGAATATACACTATAATTGAAAAACGTATGCATCACAATGTGGAACAAATTTCGAACAATTAAAATGAATTCGGAATGTAATTCAACTAAGGAATACTTGATATAAGCCTCAACAGGATATTCTGCAGTTTGTTTTTGAATAAATTCCGGATCAAGTCTGTATCTCCCAATTCAGTTGTTAATTCATTAAAAATCCTTTTCCAGGTGATGTATGTACATGTATTCCCCGTACTATAGTCTTTATCATTATCAAAAACATTAAACAAATGTCATCTATTTTCTTAGATTTAGTAAAGTTATCTCTGTCAAGTCAACTGTCATGTTTCAACAATTCGTTTTTTATTTAATTTGTAATCACGATCCGTAGAATATATCAATGACATCATAGCCATCCATAGATGTGATTAACTGATGGATTCCGTGTTGATTTTTTAAAGTTTTCCGAGATTTGAAATCGATGGATTTCTGTACTACTAGAATGTCTTACAAATTTGAGTATTATTTGTCCAACTATGTATTTTATTTGATTTGAGTTCATCAATGTCAACATTTTATGAAAACAGTTTTTGAGTATACATTAAAATCGGCAAGCGTTTTTTTTAAAAGCTAATATACCCTCCATCAGATTCAATTTTGTCATTCATAAATGAGAAATTGGCATTTTAAGTCAACTAATGAAATTGAATGTACACCGTGTGCTATTTGAAACTAGTGTTGATAGCTTGTTTAGTCTGACCAACGAAACGAACAATTGTGGTGACGGGCAATCGTACATTTGGGCTAACTAACTACTGGTGTAAGCGTTGAAACATTCACAACGAACGAATTTTGAAAATCCTCAAAAACAAAATTGGGCCGTATTTTTCAAAAAGAATAAATGAATAAATAAATACATATATATGAAGGTTTTAACATTTGTTCTTTGTGAATGTTTCAACGCTGACACCAGTAGTTATCATTTTCAAATGTGCAATTGTCGGTCACCATAATTCGAATTAACTGAGTCTTTGAAAGAAATAACCATCATAATCTCTGTTTCAGCTTGTACACTGAGCTTAACTAACTATACCAATTCGTTGTATGAAATATACACTTTTTGTAGGCGCCATTGTGAACTTCTTTTCTTAGCGATCGATTTGTGATAAAGTTGAGAGCTCATAATTTCTGAATTCCGTGAATTCTGCGACCATGTTATAAAGAAATGAAATTGACATTCTGCAGTGATCAGTGTATGTGCAAGCAAAGAGAATTCATATACGTAATTTACTTAATACTACTATAAGAATCTACTATTTTGTAAAAACAGTGATATTCAGTTAGAATTCTTCAATAATGGATATGTGAAAGGATATCGCGAAGGTAAATCTTATCGGAATGATTGGCGATGTCAAAATCTGCCACAGAATTTGCTAGTTAATTTTTGTAAAAAAAATCGTTCAAATTCTTTGTCAGTGTGAATGTCAATATCGGTGAATATTATATTTTTTTCTACGCAATCCTAAAGAGTCAATTCCATATTTCCTAGTCATCGACTCTTAATTGTACCAATCGCGAGTGGGTGGTCTCACAATACACCGTTAACTATCGATTGAATTGACAGGATTGCAAAAGATGAAAATGTTGAAATTTTTTAAACATTGTATACGTTTTTAGGACATTCGGGCTAGATTGCCACAAGGACTGCCATTGTGTGCTCTACATTAGCCACAATCAAAACTCAAATATTGGAATTTGCGTTACCAAATTCGTAGAATGATTGTCATAGCTCAATGAATATCAGAAAGGTTCCTAAAACCCATTTCTCTGGAAATTACTAGATTTTTTATGTAATATCTTGCATCATTAGAATAATTTGCGCAACGAGGCAACAACAAAGTACTTATATTCGACTTCTTCTAAGTTCTTCAAGTCCGCTTACTCCTCCTGAATATCATCTCTGTTCATAACAGGCTACCAAATTCCTCAAAATGTATCTGTCTTTTATCTATCTGGGCGTACGCTGCCTATACAATTGGAGTTACATGCAAATAATACCGTAAGGTTGTTCATCTTGAATAGTTCTAAACAAAAGTCCGCGATAGCATATATCTACCTCTTATGTGGTAGCCACTATATGCAAAATACTGAGCCATAAATAAAATTGAATTGGATACTTTTTATAATGCACATTTTAGAATATCTGTCAAATTCTTATAAATTTATACAGTTATCGTTTTAATATACATAAACTTGTCTTTTACACTAAGTAATTTGGACAAATCATTTAAAAGTTATCAAGATAAGATTAACTTGACGCAACGCAGTAAGCCATTACGCGTCGCGTCTACTGTAAGACGACGGGGACGATGGGCGGGGGTAGACGTTGTTGACGGTTGTGTTATTTTTGCGAATTTCTATAATTCGTTTCTTGAAGCTATTCATCACATAGTGCAGTTGGCATATTTTTTTAGTTACTGTATTTTGAAATTAAAAATATAAATTACTAGCTGTGGCTCGCTCTTATGTTAACTTACAGCGAAGCTACTGAACCTAGAATCTTAAAATATGCATGTAGGTTCTTTGTATATCGTAAATAACCATCAAGAAAGGGAGTCAGGAATTTCCACCCCCAAGGGGGAAAAATTGTATATAGTATTGAATTTCGTCAGTTTTGAAGTTGTAAAATATTGTAATTTGTAACTATTTGTTCGAAATGGTTTGTCACGAAACTTAATGTGACAAACCAAATTCTACGCGGACGAAGCCGCAGCAACAACTACTAGTTTTATGATTATCATGAGTTTTGTATATAAATTTAACTACTCAGAATGGAAATATTTTTATTCCACTTGTTAGTTAGAGTCATGCTCGATTCAAGTACACTATTTAGTGTTGATATCTAGATAGTTCAGCAAGTCCACAATCTCTCCTTTTTTTAAGAATGAAGTTTTTTACTTCTATGTTTAAATAATCTCATCCAAGGTGTTTTAGGTCAAGTGGAAAAACAAAGCTGCAATGCATGGCTAGTAACTTATAACTTTGCCCTTTGGTAATATTTTTCATGCTAAGTTATGCCAGTTATTATTAGATAGGGTCGAGCAAAAGTGATAAAAAAATATGGCAAATGAAACAACTATATCATTGTTTTCTTTCATTAATGTATGACCAAAAGTGTTTCAGATTGGAGAACAGATTGAACTTTTTCTATGTTGTTAAGTGTGATCCTTGGAAAACAAAACATTTTTCACTCCGTTTGGTATGAAGTATGACCTTCTCATCTAATCAGATATGAAGATGTCTCATTTGGTTGTTGATAATAATTAGTCACCAAGATAGTTGTTATCAGACCTCTTTACTTGAATTGTTCCAATATTTTTTAATGTTATTCACTGACTCATCTGTTATTATTTTTTTATCTTCCTAGGTACATTAGTGTTCAGTTACGAGTATGTCCTGAAATCTGAACAAGCATTTTATTCTGGTATCTGTTACGTGTACCTGCTACATTGCGAAATTTGATATATTGTTCTACAGACAATACTTTTTTTTTATTTCACGAAATCATTATTCACTGATTTGATCTAAATAACAGTTTTTGTGAATTTTAAATGCAAATTTTGTTCCTCATTAAGGAAATTTTATAGCAGCCGTGAAATAGTTATATACACCATTTTATGCATACCGGTTTGAGAATTACTTATGAAGAGGTCATTAAGGATTCTGAAAGATTCAAGAGATTGATAACCGGGACTGTAGGATCGGTATTTACAATGACATGCCAAGGCATGCCAACTTTGGACTGTTAATGAATAAATATCATTTCAACTAATTAAATATCATAGGAATTGAAAAAAAATTCAGGCATCTGCTGGATAATTGAATGAACAATAATCCGCCGTCAAAAAAATGAAAATTTAAATAAATACAATTTTTTTCAAGTGCCAAAGCAAGATAAATTATGATAAAGAAAATAGCTCGTTATTATGAATTATAATCCCTGAAGGCTCCAATTTGTAGCTTTCACTTCATTGTTGTGACTGATTCAGTTGTTGATTTAGATGCTATAACATTTCTATATGCAGATGATTTAAAACTTTATTTACGAATATCACACTTAACCGATTGTGAGCAACTTTGAAATAACCTGAATGTGGCACATGGTTGGTGCTTGGCTGATAATTTATCACTTGATGTATCTGAATGTAAAATTAAAATGTATACAAATTTCAGAAATTGCAGAACTTTGTTTTAACATTGTTGCTTTGAAGACTACCTATATTTTTCTTA